AAGGTTCGCACCTGTACCGTACAAACGGAAACACTTAATTTAACAATACCAATCTTTATCCGAAAACAAGCTAGATTATATTTAATCAAACATCCTTAATGTTGGTATCACACCCAATTTAAATATTAAATCTCAAAATTGTGAAAAACTGGATATGGACATCTGTAAATGTTAAATCTCTCGTGTTACAATAAATCGTCACCTCGAAACTAAAAATCATAATTTATAATCTATAATGTATATGTATTTCAGGTATGAATTTCACTACTTACATTGTAAAACACCGAAATGCTCTTCACCAAATTCCTCTATTTCGTCTTTAACGCTTTCTTTCGACTCCTGTATAAGATATAAATGATAATATTTATTTCAAACTCACGAATGAAAATATTGCATGTATATCCGATACCTATGGAAACAAATTTTTGCATCTTTGTGTTTGTTTTGTTTTACGGCGCATCCACACAAATTTAGGACTTTTGACGCTGAAACAGGAAATATGATTTTGACCAACTTCGGATGATATTGTGTCGTATATAATTCAAAGAGCTTTGTTAAATATTGATGTTTACGGCCACATTTTCAAACTACTTCTTTAAACAATATTTAGTAACTGTTGAAAATATATTTTACCACAGTTATATGAAAATATATTGTAAAATAGATAAGTGAAATAATGGTTTCTCATGTTAGTTAACGGGGCAATTTTATCTCGATACAAATTAACCACAACAATTCCTTAAAATATTTAAATGAATCATGACAATGATGTGTCAACACAAATATGAACATTTTACTTACAGATTCGAGCTCTTGTAGTATAAGTGGGCAAGATTCAGTCAGAAATTTGTTTCGGGCTGAAAAATTGTACTTAAATACACATTCATATGTACATTAGGGTAAACAAATGTGAATTATATGTACATTTAACTTTAAGGCTGTTTTGTTAAGAAAGCAGCAATGTTGCAAATTACAAGACTTGGGCGTATTGAACTGGATTGGTAATAAGCACATTTTACGTAAGTATTTAAAATACTAATAAACAATGGAAATAATTTGAATATTCTTATACGAACTTTCTTGAAAGAAATGTTGATAAAGTTCTAGGTGATTTAGTGTGAACAATAAATATACTCAATTACAAAAGAAAGTGTGCACTTCCGTTACTTTAAAATTCGGAATCATACCGGAGCAAATAATCATATTTGGTATTAAAATTTGCAGAAATGAAATTTTGTTATTACTGAAATTGTTACGGGAAAGGTGACAAGTAAAACTTCCAGAATTGTTATTTGAATGTTTTTTAAGTGACGTGACAAACGTAAGTGTTATATCCAATGTAGTACGCTGCAAGTGTTTCATTAAAAAATGAAGTCAATGAAGTCAAACCCCCAAAAATGCATTAAGTTAATGCGCAACTTTCTGATAATTATCAAATTTTAATTAAACATAAACCATCGTCATAGTGAACATATTTCTTCAAATGTTTAACAAGTAAAAGATTACCCTGTAACTAAGTGCACATTTTCTTTTATAACGGAGTAAAATATTTATAATTATGTTATATGGGATTATATATCCCACTTGCCAACAATATCCATATATAATTATTTCGTGGCCGGTTGTTATGTCTGATACTAAGACATTAGATCTATGCGATCATAATGGTTGGCAAACAAATAGGTTAATAAATGTTTAAAACAAGAGCGATCAGTCATCACATGTGTCGCCTCAAGATGGCCAATTTCATGTTGGGACTAGTTTTGTGACAGACGGACAGACAGACGGACAGTGCACAACTAGACTTGGAACTGTCATTCCTGTAAAGTTTGGATAAAATTGCACCAGTAGTTTATGAGGAGTAGTCCGGACAAGCTTTTGTGTATCTGGCAACACAGAAATAAACACCTTTTTATCAAAGGGCCATAACTCGGCAAAAAATCATTCAATCAAAAAACCCGTGCAATATGCACAAGGACGACTTGAGCTACAGATAAATCCTGTAAAGTTTCATTGAAATTGAATTAGTGGTATAAGAGAAGTAGTCCGGACAAACTTTAAAAATAAAAATTATTAAAGGGCCATAACTATGACAAAAATCATTAAACCGGAAAATGCTGACAATATGCACTTCTAGACTTGGTACTGATCATTCCTGTAAAGTTTGGATGAAATTGCACCTGTAGTTTATGAGAAGTAGTCCAGACAAGTTTTGTGACGGACGGACGGACAGACGTACGACGGAGAAGTGATCCCTATATGTCGCCACTACTCCGTAGGAGGCGACACAAAAAGATATTTATTTATATACAATGTAATAACTTACGTTTGTTGGGCATCATCTGGGCTATGGCTCGTGATGTTATGCATCTACCAATCAGACTTGTAACTAAATATAGTAAAGTAAAGTTAATTAGTCCTCCTAGTTTCTTATGACGTTGATCATTAAGCTTAACATAGTGAACTTTTTTATAAAATCTAAAATTTATAAACTGGTCATTATGCCGTTTCTATAACCTTATGGTCAATTCTCATCAGAGTCGTAGCTAAGAATCTCCGTTATATACTAAAAGCGTAAAAACGCTCTAATGGTTTTCTCAAGAGGATTCTTACATACAAATGAACTATACAGATAATTACAAAAATTTCAAATTCTTATTTTTGATTTGAGACGAGCAAAGCAAAATTAGCATTTAAATGCTGGAAGATCTGGAATAGATTGACAGAATAAATTGCTATACCCGTTATTCGAAACTGTTTAAGTTATCCGGGGGTATGTATTAGTTTCTCAAGGTTAAGGGACACTAGTTCTGGTTCTTGTTGTACGCATATTATGGATATTTTGATTTTTCGGCTCACAAACAATATTTTGGCTTGGTAATAAAATATTTGTAACAACTCTTGTGAATCTACCATTGTGCATCGACAATTAATCTAAGATTACGGAACCAATAAGATTTTATTGCCAATATTAAATATTTAAGACATATCTTTATTAAATCCATTTAATCTTCAAATGGAGATGCATGTCGAATTTTTAAACTGGCTAACTGGCTCGAGTTATTTTAAGGTTTGGTTGGTAAAATGATTCTACAAAATCCAACGAACAAGAATTTAATTTGATGTGACAAAAAGGAAGTTGTACTTTACAGTTTTCTTTTATAGATGAAACATTCGATTTGTATTGTCTATTTTACAAGATTTAGATAACTAGAAATGTGTCGTCACGCCACGGATGCCCCCGCATGTAGCCAAAATTTCAGATGTTATAATATTTAGTTCCAAATTTGTTTGCACAAATTATGTTTTTCATTTTAAGTTCAAAGCCCTTAAAACTATTCAATGTTAGCAAAAACCATTTTTAAACAAAGTTCAAGGTACAGAAACTATTCAGTGTTAAACTTTTGTAAATTGCATATTGCATATTTCTAGCCAAATTAATGGCTACATATATTTCCACAAAAGTACGAGTGCTGAAACTGAAATTCAAATTTATTCCAAAATTCAAGGAGACAACTTTGTCCAAAATCATCCAAAACCACGACCAAATTCAAACTTGAACTGCTTATTCCTAAGATGTATCTGTATGTCTAATTTGAGTTGAACCATTGGGGAGATAATGAACTGAAACTTAAAAAATCTGGGTTTTTTTTCAAGGTTAAAGAGGGCTAACTCTGTCAGCTATCATCAATTCATGACCAAATTGGAAATTGACCAATGCATTCTTATGACATATCCATATTTTTTAATTTGAGTTGAATATGTACAACTATTGGTGAGATAATGAATGGGAACTAAAATTTTCTTTTTTTCTTCAAAGTTTAAGGGGCACAACTCTGCCAAAAATCATTGAACCATGACACAATTTGAACCTGACCTGCGTATTTTTTGATGTACCCATATGTCAAATTTGAGTTGAATGTGTAATACCATAGAGGAGATAATGAACGGAAACTGAAAAATTCATATTATTTTCAAAGTGAAATGGTCATAACTCTGCCAAAAATCATCAAACCATGGCCAATTTCTAACTTGACCTGCACATTCCTTTAACATATCTATGTGTCAAATTTATTTGAATATGTAACACTGTTAGCGCAATAATGAACTGAAACTGAAAATTTCATATTATTTTCAGAGTGAAAGGGGCATTACTCTGCAAAATATCATTGAACCATAACCAAATTCGAACTTGGCCTGCGCATTTCTTTAACGTATCCATATGTCAAATTTGAGTTAAATGTGTAATGCTGTTGGGGAGATAATGAACGGAAACTGAAAATTGCATATTATTTTTAAAGTAAAAAGGGCATAACTCTGCCAAAAATTATCAAACCATGACTAGATTTGATCTTGACCTGTGCATTTTGTTGACGTATCCATATGTCAAATTTGAGTTGAAAGTGTCATACATTTGGGGAGATTAAGAACGGAAACTGAAAATTTCATATTATTTTCAAAGTAAAAAGGAATCATTAAACCATGACCAAATTTAAATTTGACCTGTATTTTCTCATGAAATATCCATATGTCAAGTTTGAGTTGAATGTGTAATTCCGTTGGGGAGATAATGAACGGAAACTGAAAATTTCATATTATTTTCATAACTCTGCCAAAAATCATCGAACCATGACCAAATTCGAACTTGAACTGTATTTTGTCTTGACATATTCATATGCCAAATTTGAGTTGAATGTGTGCAACCGTTACTAAGATAATAAACGGAAACTGATGTGAGGGAATGCAAAAATGAGGGAATACGGAAGGATGGTTTGAGGAAAAACAGGGCAAACTTATGCCCCAGCCATTATATGGCGGGGGCATAAAAACAAATCCTGAACCCGATAATGATTATTGACTCACATTCCATCATTGCATATGGCCAGTTCTCGTAATCTATTTCTGGAATGTCGACATCAGGAACCTCATCTGGGGATGATGATGGATAGCTCACCGTGGGAGTGGGCTCCTCGGTCGTCAATTCTAGAGACCCTCTGAGTGCTCTTATTTCTAAAAATGTACATGACAATATAATTTTTTTAACTGAAGAACGGTTGGAAGCCTAACAGCCCAAGATGGCAACATAGCAACCTGAAGTTTGCAGCCTAGTAACCTAACAGGCTGAAGTCGACAGTCTAGCAACAACGATTCCGTCTTTAAACTGATGAATAAAGTGTAAAATATGTGTATAAACAAGATCAACAAGGAAAGGTGGCGTTCAATGAACGCAACCCCATAATAAAGAATTCATTTTTGGCCAGTGTATAATCCAGATAGTATTATGTATACTGAAGTAAGTGAATAAATATTATGCCATCAACAATGCTATGGTTAATACACACTCAAGAACGAAGGGGTCTATTTCTATTAGATTTATTCGGCATATGGTTCCCAGTACATCGGACCTTTTTATCAGTTTTTATTGACCTCCAATGCAGTCATAGCCTTACATCCAACATTTGTTATGAATATAAAATTAAATCTGGTTTCATGAATCATTAACGAAAATTTTCCAATAAACAAGCCTTGTGTTAAAAATATTATATGATAGTATAGTAAGATATTTCTAGTTCCGTCAGGTTCAAAAATCTTAGTTGAGTCCCTTTAAAAAGCAATACAAATCACTAACCTTGAAGAAAACGACGTCGTTGAAAATCCGTACTGCGGCTATCAACAACGCACAAGAAGACCACGCACAAAGGAATGAAAACTTGAAGCTGCATTATTTCCTCTAATGTAGTCTGTTCAAGAAGAATAGTGAAAATGTTACTGCATGAGTCAGTATTTATACCCGTTGTTACACAAGATGAGGCCCGGACGAATAAAACTTGAGGGTGATTTTTGTATAGAATTATATTACTTACGTTATATAATAACATACTACCTTTTCACGCATACATCTAGTTATGCCGAGAAACAGAAAAGCATCTTAAGCATACATGACTTTTATCTCAGTTGTACTACAAATGAGCCGTGTCATGACAAAACCAACATTATGGTTTTGCGACCAGCATGGATCCAGACCAGCCTGAGCATCCGCGCAGTCTGATCAGGATCCATGCTGTTCGCTTATCAACCCTTTTACAAGTCGAGAAACTGATAGCGAACAGCATGGATCCTGATCAGACTGCGCGGCATCGCAGGCTGGTCTGGATCCATGCTGGTCGCAAACCCATTGTTGGTTTTGTCGTGACACGACTCAAATATAAAACAATAACAATGAACAAATGAAGTGTTTTGCTCTTTAACATTATCATGCTACGTGGCGAGAATGATTCTTGATAAAAAAGAAGCCAAGAAGGAATATATATTTATAACAAATGAAAAATAAAACTGTGAAAGGCAGAAAGTTTATATTATCTAAGAAACATAGACGTATTAAGGAATATGAAACTATATAAAACTATAATGATGACTTTAGTTATTTATCAACTTAAACAGATCTTCGTCTGCACATCATTCCATGAATGTATTAAAACATATCTAAATCATTTATTTTTTATTTAAACGAGTGACTTGTTTTCAAATAAAAACACCTCCAATCGTATTTCGACCAATGATACAAGTAAGGAACGGTAAGATGGTTTTGTGTAAGGATAGGGTTGGAGCTGGGGTGTAATGAGATAGGGGTAGGTAATCATAGCCGGGGTTTCGAGTTGCGGTGATTCGATAGACAGGATAACAGGGATTGACAACTAGTCTCTTTGGTAGATATTCGTAAACACAATAATTTATTCTAATTGTTGTTTAAATGCAATATATTTAACAATTCGACCTACTAAAATTGTGATTTTCAGGTAAGTGTCTTTGTTTTAACTGACTCCGAAAAAGTACATCTATAATGGTAAACTGTTCGTGTTGGCAAATTTTGGTTATTTTAGTTTATTCAGCATTGGTTTGTTTTAACAGTCACCAAAACATAATTTTTGGACTGCTACAAACAATGTATACAACACCAGTTTATAGTTACTGTATAAACGTCCTTTCCCCGGAGGAGCTTTGATTTTTATTTAAGCTCTGATTTTTATTTAAGCTCGAATGTGAATCAAGTTCTTTCAAGTTTATTTACTTTCGAACCCTCTTCCTGGAACCAACCAGTACTGGTATCATATGAAGAAAAAATGGTCATGAACCGATTAGGGCTCGAACCCATGATCCTTGGGTGGTTGAGAGGCATACACCTTAAGAACTATTTCACCGCTCTCCTTCGGGTGAGCTTTTTGATAATTAAAGGCAATGAGCTTAGAATATAGGTTGGGACAGTTTTAAATTACATACTGCTCGGAAGGGCCTCTATAAGAAAATCAACTCTTATTTGAGGCACGACATTCCCGTGCAAAACATGAACATTCTAATTATAACTTAGTGCAGTATATAAACAATGTAACATGTATAAGTCGAACAGGATGACGTTTACATTATTCGGTTGTACCATAATGACATAATGGGTTGTGCAAGTTATTCAGTTATTACATTTTGCAATTTTATTGAAATATAGAATAATAAAAGTGGGTATAAAATCGTTAATTCGAATTGCGTAGTGATAAGAAAGTCAAGGGTATGAAGACCTCAGGTTATGAAAATGTTTGACGAGTTTAAATCTGCAATTATGCACATTATTATTATTATTATTATTATTATTATTATTATTATTATTATGGTTTTCACTTTCAGAATAAATTTTTTATAGTATGTTACGTAACTTTTCATTTTTCTCTTCTGTAAACCTGTAACTGAAAGTTAAATTTATAAGGGTGAAGCGTTATTGACTGTTTAAAACAGTCATTGAACAGATTGAAAGTATTATTAAAGCTAATTTGAATTCCATTCTTTGTAAGAAATATATACAATTATGCAAATAAATAACTAATTTTCCAAAATTTTGAATATATATCGTAAAACGTTGTCGTCAGAAATAAATCACCATAATGCTAAATACTGGATGAATATTCTATGAATAATTATAAGCCCCTAACTACGGAATGCCGTTAGGGCCATCGCCTATGAATGTGTTGATCTAAAACGCGATAGTCGATAGCACGATGGTGAAAACGCGAAATCACGAAACTACTAGTGAAAACGCGAAAGCACGATGATGAAAACGAGAGAGGGCCATCGCCTATGAATGTGTTAATCTGAAACGCGAAAGTCGATAGTACGATGGTGAAAACACGAAATCACGAAACTACGATGGTGAAAACGCGATAGTACGATGATGAAAACGCGATAGTACGATGATGAAATCACAACAGTACGATGGTGAAAACGCGATAGTACGATGATGAAAACACGACAGTACGATGATGAAAACGCGATAGTACGATGGTGAAAACGCGATAGTACGATGGTGAAAACGCGATAGTACGATGATGAAAACACGACAGTACGATGATGAAAACGCGAAATCACGAAACTACGATGGTGAAAACGCGACAGTACGATGGTGAAAACACGATAGTTTATCGCGCTTTCATCATCGTAGTATCGTACTGTCGCGTTTTCATCATCGTACTTTCGCGTTTTCATCATCGTGCTTTCGCATTTTCACCATCGTAGTTTCGTGATTTCGCGTTTTCATCATCGTACTATCGGCTATCGCGTTTCAGATCAACACATTCATAGGCAATGGCCCTAACGGCATTCCGTACCTAACAACACGGCTATTTTTCCACTTACTAATTTTAATAGAAATCTGATATAAAAACACGTTTATTATTTCCAAGATATATTTGCATTTTTATATCATTTGTTTATTTCAAAAGATTAAAAAAAAAAACAAAGAAAAAAAAACATCAATTATCTGAAGTAAAGGGTGCGGTTTTTATACATAAATTTGAATTACTGAAAATAGCATATCTTTATAATGACAATGGTGATGATGGTAATTATGATGATTAATATATTAATTAATAATAATGATGATAATGATTTTGGTGATGATGACAATGATAATGGTGCTAATTATGGTGGCAATAATGATGAATATGGTGGTAGTGGTTATTAAGCGGTAATGATGATGATAAAATTGGTGGCCGGTGATGATGGAAGTTGGCGACGGTGATGACGTTAATGATGGAGATAATAACGATCGTCTTGAAACATGATGATGGAAATGATGATAATGATGCTGGTGGCCATAATAAAGTCAGTGGTTATGATGATGATGATGATGATTATGATGATGGTGATTATGATGATGATGATGATGCTACTGACGATGGTAGAAAATGGTGATGATGATGCTGGAGCATAATTATGATGATTTGATGATAATTGTGATTATGGTGATGGTGAATGTGATGATGATTGAGATCATTCATTGTTGCTGTTGATGATGATGATGATGATGTTAATTATGATGATGGTGATAATGATGACTATGATATTAATGATGGTGATTGTGAATGTTATGATGACTGTGGCCATAAGTTCTTGTTGTTGATGATGATGGTGATTATGATGATGGTGAGTATGATGATTGTGATATTAATGCTGGTAATTATGATTGGGATGATGATATTTGTGGTGAAGTTGATGATGATTGTGGTTATAAGATGTTGTTGTTGATAATGATGATGATGATGATCAATATCATGATAGTGATTATGATGATTGTGATATTTATGATTGTGATAATGATTTTGATGATGATAGTTGTGGTGAATGTGATGATGATTGTGGTAATAAGTTGTTGTTGTCGATGATGTTGATAATTATGATGATGGTGATTCAAATGATGCAAAACTGCCAATTCAGAATATCAGTGCTTACAACGATGCTATTTACATTGTGGCGCCGTTATATGTCGCAACGCCGCTTAATGTCGCACTTGCCGCTAAATGTCGCACAATTATTGCCGCTAAATGTCGCAACCGCCGCTAAATGTCGCAAAATCATTTGCCGTTTAATGTCGCAATATTAACGTTAAATGTCGCACGGATTTCCCCTACCGTTAAATGTCGCAACACTACCGTTAAATGTCGCAAGATGTAATTCTATGTTGAACTCGAGTTTTATTGTTGTATAAATTGTATATCAATTAAATGTGCCTACTCAAGACGGATTTTGTCGGTTTGAAAGCGAGTGATTTTATTATATATGAAATGCGCTGCAAATTATACAACGAAAATACTCATATTATAAATAAATGTATATTGTTTTGCGTTCGATTTTTACCTGATCTTATACAAGTACATATTGATAATTATACAATTGTCTACCATTTGTATGAAACTGCAAAATTAACATTGTTCTGTAAATAGTTTTGTGCTAACTTGTTTCTGTAAAATTGGCAAAAGAGACAGCCTAACGGCCTGGCTGCCTGAGTTGGCAGAATGATGGCCTAGTAGGTTGAGGAGGCAAATCGTCTCGCAGTCGGAAGAAGAAGCCTTAATTGCTGACGACCTGGACCTTTGGAGTTTGCATAACGCCCTAGAAGCCTAACGTTGGCAGCCTAGCATCCTAACGAGACAACCTGGTATGTGTTAGATAGAATCTGGTACAGAAGTTAACGTAGATAAACAAAATCAGTTTTGAAAGCTTAAAAAATGTTTTTTGAACAAACAGTTCATGCTTTTATTATATTTGCGTGCTTTTATTTCCATTTTAACGCCAGAAAGGCAGTGCTAATTCATATTGTTTCTTCAATAAATATAAAAAAATGTTTTCTTTACGCATCTGTTCCATGTTTTATTTTGGACAATAAAGTTCTTTTAAAATAAATACTCTATAGTTCATATGTTTAGTATTTATGGTCATTTGAACTTTACTATCACGTTCTCGACATGCA